TTAACCTAGCAATCCCATTACTGTGTAGATATCCAAAGGAATATAAATCATTCTATCATAAAGACACATGCAGCTAGGCACGGTGGTTCACGCCTGTAATCCCAGCACTTTGGGAGACTGAGGCAGGCGAATCATTTGAGGCCGGGAGTTCAAGACCTAGTCTGGCCAACATGGTGAAATCCTGTCTCTACTAAAAATACAAAAAATTAGCTGGGCATGGTGGCACACGCCTACAGTCCCAGTTAGTCGAGAGGCTGAGGCAGGAGAATCACTTGAACCTGGGAGGCGGAGGTTGCAGTAAGCCGAGATCGCACCACTGCACTCCAGTCTGGGTTGCAGAGGGAGACTTCGTCTCAAAAAACAAATATTTTTTTAAAAACCTTTTTAATACAAAAGCTCTGGTCAATGGCATATAAGCAGAGTGCTAAGTGGGACGTGAGGGTGGGAGCAGAGGCAGGTAGAAGGAGGGAGTCTCCCTTAAAGAAGTGGGCTCAGGGCTGGGCGCGGTGGCTCACGCCTATAATCCCAGCACTTTGGGAAGCCAAGGTGGGTGGATCATCTGAGGTCAGGACTTCAAGATCAGCCTGGCCTATTGGTATCACCTATTTGGTGATACCCCCTCTCTACAAAAGTACAAAAAATTAGCCCAGTGTGGTGGCAGGTGCCTGTAATCCTAAGTAATCAGGAGGCTGAGGCGTAAGAATCACTTGAACCCTGGAGGCAAAGGTTGCAGTGAGCCGAGATTGTGCCATTGCACTCTAGCCTGGGCAACAAGAACGAAACTCCGTCTCAAAAAAAAAAAAAAAAGAAGAAGAAGAAGTGGAGTCAGGTTAGAGGCAAGTTCTTTCATGACTTCTGCCTTCTGAAATAGTAAATTTCAGCATCCAACTACACTCATGGGTTAGAAATGAAACTCACCACTAGAATGGGAAGCAAAAAGTTCAAGCTGAGTCCCTAATAACTTCATGAAGCTGCCGTATTTACCCTGGACTGGCAACTTCTGGACTTCTTTCACATGAGAGAATAAGCTCTTGGGGTTTTTTGTTTCATTTTGTTGTTGTTGCTGTTATCGTTACATTCAACTCCATCAAAAACATAACTGATCAAGACTGGTGTGAAAGTCATGAGAATCAGAATGGAGTCACGAATGTTAAGAAAACCCTGAAAATAGAGCTGAAGGAGGCCATGAAAAGAGGACTCTCAGGCTTATATGCCTAATAACACAAACAATCACAAAACACTGTCAAAATCAATCCTGCACAAAAGTCATCACAACTTCACACAAGAAAATTATTCTACAAGAGCATCAGCATAGAAATATGCATAGTTTACCTGTCCAAACTCAGACTGGCTTCTCCCTTGTGATTGATCTTTGTGGTCAAGGATAATTATTTCAAAACAATTATGTAACCCTCCTCTTTTTTGTTGCTGTTTGTTTTGTTTTTTTGTTTTTTGAGACAAAGCCTTGCTCTGTCAGCCAGACTGGAGTGGAGTGGCATGATCTTGGCCCACTGCAACCTCTGTCTCCCGGGTTCAAGCAATTCTCCTGCCTTGGCCTCCCTAAGTAGCTGGGATTACAGGCATGGATCACCACGGTCAGCTAATTTTTTTGTATTTTTAGTAGAGATAGGGCTTCACCATGTTGGCCAGGCAAGGTTTCACCATGTCGAGCCCCTGACCTCAAGTGATCCGCCTGCCTCGACCTCCCAAAATGCTGGGATTACAGGGGTGAGCCACCCTGCCCAGTCCTCATTTTTACCTTTAAAAACCTTTGTCTTCCTTACCTCCCTTGAGTATGCATAGTTTACTAAGTCTTGCATATTCCTATTACAATGCTGTACTCCCAAATAAACATCTTTTTTAGAGCGCCTTTCTGTTTATTATTTAGGTTGACACTGGCAAAGGGAAAAAAGTAGGTATTAATTGCAGGATCCTTGACCTAAGGCTTTGCTACTCAAAGTGTGGTCCTGGAAGGGCAGTGTAGATATCACCTAATAGCTTATTAGAATTGTAGAATCTCAATTCTAATCTTCAGACCCACTGAATCAGAACCCATACTTTAACAAGACTGCCTTGTATGCACAGTTTTTGTTTGTTGGTTTGTTTTTTTACTTTTCACCTCTTTATTTTTTATTTCAATAGCTTTTGGGGTACAAGTGGTTTTTGGTTACGTGGATGAATTGTATAGTGGTGAAGTTTGAGATTTTGGCTCACCTTCCTCCCACCCTCCCTTCTTCTGAGTCGCTAATGTCCATTATATCACTCTTTATGTGTCTGCTTACCCTGCAGTTTAGCTCCCACTTATCAGTGAGAACATACTGGTTTGTACATACAGGTTTAGTTTTTCATTCCTGAGCTACTTCACTTAGAATAATGGCCTCCAGTTCCATCCAAGTTGCTGCAAAAGATATAATTTTGTTCTTTTTGATGGCTACATAGTATTCCATGCTGTATACAGACCACGTTTTCTTTATCTGCTTACCACTTGTTGGGCACTTAGGATGGTTCCATATCTTTGCAATTATGAATTGTGCTTGATAAACACTGTATGTGCAGTTTGAAAAGCACTGATGTATATTCTCTTTAAAAAAACAGGCTAGGCTGGGCACAGTGGCTCACGCCTGTAATCCCAGCAGTTTGGGAGGCCAAGATGGGCGGATCACGAGGTCAGGAGTTTGAGACCAGCCTGGCCAACATGGGGAAACCTCATCTCTACTAAAAATACAAAAAATTAGCCATGGTGGTGGGCATCTGTAATCCCAGCTACTTGGGAGGCTGAGGCAGGAGAATCGCTTGAACCCAGGAGGCAAAGGTTGCAGTGAGCTGAGACCATGCCATTGCACTCCAGCCTGGGTGACAGAGCAAGACTCCGTCTCAACAACAACAACAACAACAACAAAACAGACTAAACACTATGGATATAAATGACTGGCTGGGCACTGTTCCTATTACCTTAGTTTGTATCCTGAATAAAAGACACAGAAATACAACCCGATTTTGAGGTTGGGCACCAAACATCATATTTTCAAACAACATGTTTGTTCAAAATGCAAAAATAAAAACAAATTTAAAGGTTATAAGAAGTTTTTTTAAAAAACTTTGGAGCGGCCAGGCATGGTGGCTCATGCCTGTAATCTCAGCATTTTGGGAAGCTGAGGCGGGTGAATCACTTGAGGGCAGGTATTCAAGTTCATCCTGGCCAACATGGCAAAACCCCATCTCTACTAAAAATACAAAAAAATTAGCCAGGCATAGTGATTCGTGCCTATAATCCGAGATACTCGGGAGGCTGAGGCAGGAGAAGCACTGGAACCCGGAAGGTAGAGTTTGTAGTGAGCTGAGATTATGCCACTGCACACCAGCCTGGGCAACAGAGTGAGAATCTGTCTCAAAAAAACAAAAAACAACCAAAAAGTAACTTTGGTTTTTTGAAGATTAATTCAAACTAAAGTAGATGCTTTACACGTGACAATCAAGCTGCCAAAATTCAGAAACGATAATCACTTTGACCCTTCATTACACCCAAGCTTTTTTATTCTGACTTTCCAGTTACATCATATATACATTTCCTCAGGAACCACTGACTCTGACAAGTTCAGCTGCATGTCAACTGCCCAGCTGAAAATTCATTTACCTCTGCAACATTTAAAAGTAAAAATTACACTTTCAATATATATTTTCATCTGAAAATTTCTCCTATACTCCCTGAAAAAAAAAAAAAAACCCAGTCAGAAAATGCAATTCTTTGAATGAACAAGATGGGCTTTTTTAAATTTTTCATTTATTTCTGGCAGGGTTTTGCTCTGTTGCCCAGGCTGGAGTGCAGTGGCAGGATCACAGCTCATTGCAGACTCCACCTCCTGGGCTCAAGCAATCTTCCCACCTTAGCCTCCCGGGTAACTCAGACTACAGGTATACAGTATCATACCCAGCTAGTTTTACATCTTTTGTGGAGACAGAATCTCATTCTGTTGCTTGGGCCAATCTCTAACTCCCAGGCTTCAAGCAATCCTTTTGCCTCAGCCTCCAAAAGTGCTGGGATTACAGGTGTGAGCCACTGTGCCTGGCAAACAAGCTGTGTTGAATTAATTAATTGTAGTTAATTTTCAAATAATTTTTCTACAGTAGTTTTTAAAGATGTAATATACATACAATAAAATGCCCAGATCTTAATTTTTCTGCCAGATAACAATCTTGTTAACCCATGTAATTCCCATGCCAATCAAAGATGTAGGACATTCCCATCACTCCAGAAAGTTCCAAGGAAATGTTTTTCTAGTATTCCCCGGCTCTACCTACCACACAGAGGCAGCCACTTCTACTGTGGGTTTCTTATTCTTACGTGGCCAGAAAATGGAACCAGAAATGATTTTACAACTGAAAGCTGATAAAATAGCCTTAAGAACGGTAAAGTTCCAAGTTGCCTATGGGTGTTTTTAATATGCTTTCATCTATCAAAAACGTATCTGATATGTGACTGTAAGGAATGAAAAAGAGCTTGAGCTTGGTTCAATTAACAATGTAAATGCTAGGCCGGGCGCGGTGGCTCAAGCCTGTAATCCCAGCACTTTGGGAGGCCGAGGCGGGTGGATCACGAGGTCAAGAGATC